GTGAGTCTGAAGGGCCATAAATTACAAGTACTAGCTGAATGGGCAACACTGGTCTACAAGTCATGTACCTCCAGGTTCCCTATTAGCCCTTAGCACTTCAGCAATTTCTTCTACCCAGAACTCAGCAGGGTCTCCACATTCCACTCTTCCATCATTTTACAGCTCCTTCTAACACAAGCAATCCCCAGTGAGAAAACCTGAAATCTCACTGAACATCACCAACATATTTTTGAAGAGATGCCCAATTTTATTTAAAATAGTTAATATTTTATAAATATAGTGCATATGCTCTTTAATAGAAAGAAATAAAAATTACACTTGGGCCCTTAACGACCTTTTAAAAAAAAGTCATGACATAAGATTTCTCCTTCCAATAAAATCTTTTTATGTTCAGGTTACCTTTAATTATCAGATACAAAAGAAGACAAATAAGCCATGACTAAAGTGTTCAAATTCTAAGTTACTGGGGCATAATGGCATGCAGGTAAGGGAGCTGCCTACAGTGCTGGCATCCCATCTGGGTGCTGGTTTGAGTCCCAACTGCTCCACTTGCAATTCAGTGTCCTGTTACTGTGCCTTGAAAAGCAGCAGAAGATGACACAAGCACTTGGGCCCCTTTACCCATGTCAGAGACCTGGAAGAAGCTTGTGGCTCCAGGCTTCGGACCGGCCCAGCCCTGGCTGCTGAAGCCATCTGGGGAATGAACCACCTGATAAAAGATCTCTGCCCAGGGGCCAGTGCTGTGGCACAGTGCGTAAAGCCTGCAGGGCTGGCATCCAATATGGCTGCTGGTTTGAGTCCTGGCTGCTCCACTTCCGATCCAGCTCTCTGCTATGGCGTGGGAAAGCAGAAGATGGCCCAAGTCCTTGCTTGGGCCCCTATACCCACGTGGGAGACCCAGAAGACACTCCTGGCTTCAGATCAGTGCAGCTCCAGCCATTGCGACCAATTGGGGAGTGAACCAGTGGATGGAAGACTTCTCCCTCTCTCTTTCTCTCTCTCTCTCTGCCTCTCCTTCTCTCTCTGTGTAACTCTGACTTTCAAATAAATAAATCTTTAAAAAAAAATTTCTGCCTCTCTTGTCTCCCCTCTCTCTCCCTCTCCCAAGCAATTAAACAGAATGACCTACTGAAATATGCAGCACTTTGGATTAATCTCCACAACTGTCTAATTCAATAATTTAAACAAGGGTATCCGGCACAGCAGTTAACGTGCCGCCTGAGAGACCTGAATCCCATATCTGACCAGGTGGAGTCCCAGCTCCACTTCTGACCCCGCTTACTGCAATGCACACCCTGGGAGGCAGAGGGTGACGGCTCAGGTAGTTGTGTCCCCGCCACCCATATAGGAGAACAGAATTGAGTTCTGGCTTCGGCCTGGCCCAATCTCAGCTACTGTGGGCATTTGAGGAGTAAACCAGTGGATAAAAGATCTGTCTCTGTGTCTCTGTATCTCTTTCTCTCTCTGGATTTCAAATAAAATGAAAACAAATAAATGAAAATTTAACAAAAACAATTTGGGGAACTGGCATTGTGACACAAAGGGTTAAGCCTCCACTTGCAATGCCCACTGCCCAGTTTTAGTCCCAGATACTCCATTTCCAATCCAGTTTCCTGCTCATGCACCTGGAAATGCAGCAGATGATGGCCCAGGAACTTGGGACTCTGTCATCTATGTAGGAAACCCAGATGGAGTTCTGGGCTCCTGGCTTTGGCCCGGCCCAGCCCTGCCTATTGCAGCCATTTGGGGAGTGAATGGAAGATCTCTTTCTCTGTCTCTCCCTCTGTCATTCTGCCTTTCAAATAAATATAATAAATTTTTTAAAAAATAAAATAAAACAGCAGATATTACAGCAAGAACAGACAAATAAAAGCAACAAAATCAAGTGTTCAGTATCTATGATAATTCAATATACAGTAAGTGTGGCATCATTATCTATGGGAAAGTGAGAGAATGAAAGTAGAACTGGTACATCCTGGGGAAAACAAAGTGAAGTATAAGATTGTGACAAACAAAGGTAGACTCTGAATGTGTTAAAGACTTACATATTTAAAAGGAAACTATGAAGTTAGTAGCACATCAGACAGTAACTTTGTGACATAGAAATGGGGAAAAATTGTGAAACAGAATCTTTAAAATACAAGCCATCAGGCAAATTTTTTAACTTAATTATGTCAAGATTGAAGATTTCTGGTCAATGAAGGACATCTCAGAAAAGGTTATCAACAACTAAGAACAAATATACCCATAATATTTAAGGGACTAATATGAAAGATATACAAGAAACTTCTACAAATCAACAAGAAAATAACTGAAACCATAAAATAATGAGTAAAAGAATAAACAGGCCGGCGCCGCGGCTCACTAGGCTAATCCTCCACCTTGCAGCACCAGCACACCGGGTTCTAGTCCCAGTCGGGGCGCCGGATTCTGTCCCAGTTGCCCCTCTTCCAGGCCAGCTCTCTGCTGTGGCCAGGGAGTGCAGTGGAGGATGGCCCAAGTGCTTGGGCCCTGCACCCGCATGGGAAACCAGGATAAGTACCTGGCTCCTGCCATCAGATCAGCACAGTGCGCCGGCCACTGCGCGCCAGCCGCGGCGGCCATTAGAGGGTGAACCAATGGTAAAGGAAGACCTTTCTCTCTGTCTTTCTCTCTCACTGTCCACTCTGCCTGTCAAAAAAAAAAAAAAAAAGAATAAACAGGCAACTTTACAAAATGAACCCAAAAAGATAAAATGCACCCAAAGAAATACCCAAATGTATTAATCATAGTGAAATGTAATTTAAAATGAGATATTAATGCATATCTATTAGTCTGGAAAAACCAGGGCACTGAACAACACAAACATTGGTGGGGACAGAAAGATCCAGGAACCCCCACAAATTACTCTACAGGAGAACAGTCACTGCAGCCTGTTTTGGAACACAATCCGACAGTACTTCAACAAAATATATGAATATTCCCATAATCGTAAACCACAGTCCTTGATGCTGATTTCAAAGAAAGTATAAAAGTTTCTCAAAGAAAGTATTTAGAGATCTAAAAGGTTTATCAAAGTATTCTCATGGGTAGCCACAAACAATAAACTATCCTATATGGACAATCTGAAATATATGTTTTGATCTTCAAAACGTAATGGAGGAAGAATAAAACTTTTATGCAATATATGGCATTATATTGTTTCTATGAATTAAAAAATGTGGACACTTCTAACAATATACACTAATAACACAAACAGAAGGCTAACTATCACACATGTTAGAATGGGTGCCGCTGGATTGATCAGCAAGAAAATGGAGTGGGAATTGGAAATAATAGGTAATGCAGGAAAAAACCAAGAGGGATGCCTTGAACAGCCCAGTGATGATCACACTGAATTGAGTAAGATTAACTCAATCCTCTGCACCTCAGGGACAGAACCAACAGTAAGGACTCATGCCCAGCATACATACCTCTAAAGCTAAATGTCATCTACCCTTCCCCTGAGGAAGGCACACAAGTTAAAAATTTTCCTCATTATTTTTAAGGTTCTTAGAGCTACATGAAGAAAGCGCTCCACTTCCTTTAACTTCCACATAGAATTTATATTCACAACAAAAAACAACATCAAGGCAAAATACTTCAAGACATAGATACAGGCAACAATTTTTAATAAGATCCCAAAAGCACGAGCAATAAAAGCAAGAAATTATAGCAAACTAAGAAGCTTCTCACAGCAAAGGAAACAATCAACAGAGTGAAGAGACAAAAGGAAATCGTAAGTTACAAGGCTCATTACCCCCAAATTTAAGTGATAAACAATGCAAAGCCCAGTCCTCTGATACATCCAGTCACTCAGATCTATTGAAAATTTAACTACAGCTAACAATAAGAAAAAACAAAGTGTATACACTGCTTTTCCTGTTAAGTACAGTTCTGGAACATTTATAAAATAAAGATAAGCATTTACATAGACCAATGTCTCTACCATATCTCTACTTGACATAAACAAGGAGGCATTTACTATACAAAATGCTAATTTGTCTTCCTAATTTAAAGTAACCAAGATCTGTTATTTGGGTGTGATCATGACAATTTTTGATTCTTCATAATAAGGCTGCTTTCAACTTTTTCCACCTCCACACCTCAGCAAGTTTTCTAGTAAAAGCAGCAGCAGATCGAAATTGGAATTTCTGCATAATAAAATGTCCAAAATTCAATGTAGGGTTTCATAAAACCAGCGGTTGTTGCAGCCATGTCTATAAAATCCTAAGAAATAAAAGTAAGAGAGTTTCAATTCGCCTCTTTGGGTCTCATGGCAAACGTCACTGGAACCCAATGTGCAGCTGCCAGGGGGTAAACCCTGAAATCGGCAGCAACAACAACCCCACAGCCGCTACAGGCTGTAAGAACCGGCAGAGGACCTGGGAAACGGACGAGGCTAGTGGGTCAGAAACATAAAACACGGGGTAGTGCTTGCCTCGAGGCACAGCTCCAGGACGCTGGGACCCCCTCGGAAAGTGAGCGGGAGCAGCACGAATCAGACCAAGTCCCAGCGCAAAGGGGTGAGAACTGGCAGGTGGCATCTCACGCATGAAACGCTAACAGAGGTCTCAGTCCCCAACCCAAGGGCAGACTCAAGAGGGGGACCAGCAGGTAAGCACAGACCCCCTGCACCCCGGAAGCAGGCGCCAGTAAACCCACGGTCGTCTCCAGCCACCTCATGCCGTTTAGATGGTCCCTGCGGGCAAGGCTGTTCTGACTTCAAGATCGGAAGCCACTGTCGCCAGAAGCAAATGTCACTCACGATCCCCGAATGGTCTCCATGGCCCTGGCAAAGTCGCCTGGCTGTGGGCCTGAAGCTACAGGCGACGCTGGAAACACAGCTTCCAGCAGCAGAGATCTGACAGCTGGCGCCGCCCCTGGCACCAGTGGATCTGTGAGCCCTGACCCCCGACCCCTGACCTCGGCGGCGGAGACACAACCCGCTCCGCCCGAAGGGAACTGGAAAGCCCCCTTACCTGTCACAGCTTCACCTCATGCCGCGATCCGTGAGACCACCCGTCGGCACCCCGGCAAAGGAAGACAAGGCGAGGGCGCAGCGAAGGAGGATGTGGGGTGCGCGAATCTGGATGGGAAAACCTTGGGGGCCGCAAGCCCTGACCAGCCGCGGTCTCCCCACCGAGGATGCACAGTGCCGGCACCGTTGCCGCCGCCGCAGTAAATCAGCTGACACCAGCCTCCACTGCCGTGACTTTCGCGACAACTGTCGTAAAAACGAGGGGGAAGGGAGATGTTCACTATTTCGCTATACGCCTCGCCTAAGCTGGCGCTGAAGGAACCGGCCGCGTCACCATGGAGACCGAATGGCCTCGAAGGGATCAACTGTGGGCAAGGAGTGCGTGGCCGCCATTTTGGTTAGGGGAAGTGCGTTCTGTGCTGGCTTCTCGCCTTTTAACGCCAGTGTCAGTGTCGAGAGGACCAAGATGGAGGGAAGGATGAAATAGCAAGTCTAGGTCTTCCGGGGGACCAGGATGTTGCAAGTTTACACTTCTGCCTATGCGACTCCATCCAGGCTCTTTGGAAAATATTAGTACTATGTCCTTATGGCTCCTGAACTCAGCTGTTAGCCATGACGCAGAGGGCCACACAGACCAGGAACTCAAGGAAATCTGACCTTGTGCAACACGCTGTGGAGGAGAGGCAGTGAATTCCCTGTGTGGGTGGCAAAGCGTGGCAGAGGATGAGCTCAGAGTTGAGAAAGCCCTGGATGCTGGTCTGGATTCCTCCACAACACGCTTGCTATTAGTGTCTTTTTAGGCATATGGCTTCTTTTCATTCTCTTCTCAATTTCCCCATTTACAAAATCATAATGATAACCCCCTGGTTGTCCAGGAAATTGAACAAGCTCAGTAAATGTTAATGACTCACAATATTTGTCTTCTCAAATATTGGTTGAATGGGTGAGTGAATGTCAGCCAAGGGGAAATTAGTGCCATGCTGATGGCCAATGGTCAAGTCTAATAAAAAGACACAAAAGGTATTGAAGATATTGATTCCGTGGTTTTTTGTTTGAAGGCTCGCTAGTGAGTTAATGGAATAAGAAAGAACTATTGCAAGGCCCAGTAGTTAATGTATAGACAAATCATGGAAGGATTTATTCAAAAAGTTTCTCATTCAGTATATCTGGAATGAGTTCTACGATTCTTCATTTCTAACAAGTTCCCTGGTCCTTGAGACATACCCTGAATAGCAAAAATCCTCTTGGACATAGGGCTTGGAGCAAAGAATCATGGGATTAGAACAGGACAGGAATAAACTTATTTATTTGAAAGGCAGAGTTACAGAAAGGTAGGGGGAGGAGGAGAGCTGGTTCACGCCCCAACCTATCTGAAGCCAGGAGCCAGGAGCCTCTTCTGGGTCTCCCATATAGATGCAGGGGCCCAAGGACTTGGGCCATCTTCTACTGCTTAGCCATAGCAAGGAGCTGGATGGGAAGTGGAGCAGCCAGGACTTGAACTGGTGCCCATATGGAATGCTGGCACTGCAGGCAGTGGCTTTACCTGCTATGCCACAGTACCTGCCATAGGAACTCTTTCAACCAGAATAGTTTCCTCCCTCATTTGCCAAAAGAGTGCTGAGTGTTGGTTTTTCTGTTAACATTTGTCATTTCTGCTAATGGGACACCTCGCCTTACCATCTATATGTCTTCCCCACAGCAACACATGACAGACAATTCAAGGTTTCAAATGGTAAGTCTGTGTTCCTTTACCAGGCCACATAGTGTCCAACTTCTCTACTTGAGCTCTTAGGGGTTGTTTCTTATAGCTGTGTCTGTTTATTTTCAGAGGCTATCTCTGCTGTACCCATAATGAGAAAAACTAAATCATAATTTTTTTTTAAAAAGCCCCACAGTATTAGAAAAAACTAAATCATAATTTTAATGAGAAGTATTAGAACACTTCGAAGTCAATGATTCTGAAGTTGTTTTTAGTAGCAAATTGGAATTCTCTGATTTTCTTCTACTTTGGACTGTCTTGCAATAACATGAGTGGAGGAGGAAAAATGATGTCAAATAGTAGAAATTAATTCCTCAGCCAGCTGGCTTCAGTATACTCACTTGTTCTGTTGTGATGATGAGTAAATTTACACCCTCCAGTTCATCATACATTTACAATTATGAAGATATACAGGAGCACAGAATGGTAACCATAGGATAATCTTAGGCAGTGTTAAAATATGTTTGGCTTGTGAATAAATCCTGTAGGAATTCAACAAATATTAATTGAATAATTACTAGTTTCAGAAATGTATAGGCTAATAAGATTACTGAGAGGCTATCAGTTTATTATCACTCTGGTTCTTCTCTACCAATTTTACAAACTTATCGCCAAAGTCTGTATGTATGGGAAATCTCCTGAACCATAGGGCTAAAAAAGATACATTTCAGGGCTGGCACTGTGGCATAGCAGGTAAAGCAGCCACCTGCAGTGCCAGCACCCCATATGGGGACAAGTTCAAATCCTGGCTGCTCCACTTCCAACCCAACTCTCTTCTATGGCCTGGGAAAGCATTAGAAGATGGCCCAAATCCTTGGGCCCCTGCACCCACGTGAGATACCTGGAGGAAGCTCCTGGCTTCTGGCTTCATATCGGTGTAGCTCTGGCCATTCTGGCCATTTGAAGAGTAAACCAGCAGATAGAAGATTCTCTCTCTCTCTCTCTCTCTCTGCCTCTCTGTAACTGCCTTTCAAATAAATAAATAAATATTTTTTAAAAGCCACATCCCAATGTACAATGTTTCTGATTAATAAAATTTTATAAATTTCTATACACACACATAAATATACTTGTGTTTGTTTTACATATAATTTCATGGAAAATTAAGACTTGCATCTTCAGAAAGCTGATCCTGAGTATGTTTACTTAGGTAAATTATTTGTTTATTCACTCATCCAGAGGAATTACACAAAACTCTTAAATCATTCAAACAAAAAAATTCAATTCAACATCCATTTATTGAGCCTTAACTCAATAATAAAAGTGAAGTTAGAAAAGCAAGACTCCACGGCGGGTGCCGCGGCTCAATAGGCTAATCCTCCACCTAGCGGCACCAGCACACCGGGTTCTAGTCCCGGTCGGGGCGCCGGATTCTTTCCCGGTTGCCCCTCTTCCAGGCCAGCTCTCTGCTCTGGCCCCGGAAGACAGTGGAGGATGGCTCAAGTACTTGGGCCCTGCACCCCATGGGAGACCAGGAGAAGCACCTGGCTCTTGCCTTCGGATCAGCGCAGTGCGCTGGCTGCAGCGCGCCAGCCGTGGCGGCCATTGGAGGGTGAACCAACGGCAAAAAGAAGACCTTTCTCTCTCTCTCTCTCTCACTATCCACTCTGCCTGTCAAAAAAAAAAAAAAAAAAAAGGCAAGAATCCAGCATATTCAGTGTCTATGAAGGAAAGCGAGCTTTGCTACCCACCGAGACTCAAGATGTCAGGAATTCCCTAAACTTTGGAAAGTGTGATAGATTCTTGGAAGCTAAAAAGAATGACAACAGAGTACAGTGCACTGAGTTTTTCTGTTAACCATTTGTCATTTCTACTAATGGAACACCTCACCTTACCATCTATATGTCTTCCCCACAGCAACAAATTACAGGAATTCAAGGTTTCAAGTGGTAAGTCCATATTCCTTCACTAGGTCACATAGTGTCCAACTTCTGTACTTTAGCTCCTAGGGGTTGTTTCTTATAGCTGTGTTAAATACAGTACAATGCAGTATGAGTGTGAGAAATATACATATAACAAGGAATGGAGAAAAGAGATGAATTACTTCTAGGTTGGAATGAGAAAATATAATAGTATTAAATATTTTTTAAAAAGATGTATTTATTTATTTGAAAGGCAGAGTTACAGAGAGAGTGGGAGAGATGGAGCTAGAGAGAGAATTCTCTTCCATCCGCTGGTTCACTCCCCAAATGGCCACAATGTGGGGATGGGGTGGGGCCTGGAACTCCATCCGGTTCTCCTACATGGATGGCAGGGGCCTGGGGAAAAGCAGAAGGTGGGAAGTAGATTAGCTTAATAAATGTTCTTTGAGTGATTATTTTGTAACTAAAGCCATCTTGTGTAAATAAGAGCTTCTCTTTGCACTTATTCAATGGCATGAAAGTCAACTGCCAAGACTTCTTATTTTCTTCCTATCTTATGAGCTCCACTAAATAAGAACAGGTCTCACCAAGTAACAGGATATCTTTTCCAGACATTCCTCTAGTTGCTACACATGCAGTCCTATAGGAAGGAGTTAGGGTGATAAAGCTGGGAGTGCTCAAACACTTCATAAGTGAGGATTTGGAGGGACCAATCCTAACTACCAAGATCAGCTAGAGGAAATAAGCAAATTGAGTGAGTACAAATTGCAGCCATCACCGCCTACTACAGCAACACTTCTCTCTTCTCAGCTTCCCACGAGGAAGAAAGAACCACCAGAGCCTTGAACCAGAACCTTGAACAAGCCTGTGTGGAGAAAGGAATCCATGTGGTATAAAAAATAGACTGTGAGAGCTGAAGTTACAAGATTCTTGGAAGAGCCCCTGAAGAAAGATTGAGCATGGTGCTCAAGAAAGGACTGAGTGATAAAGGCATATATGTGGTATGCATGGGTGTAGGGAAGGATTGTTTCTTTGAGGGTATGCCTAAGATAGGACTTTGAATACAGTAAAACCTTTTATTAAGGTTTTATCATTTTTCCCCGTCTGTCCTTCCTACGTCGACAATATCTACAATGCTGCTGCTAACAAAAAGAGCTCTACAAGCGACTAAGTGAAAACATAGACTGTCATATGTATTTTTTCAGTCCTTTAATATGCTCCCAGAGAGATCTGTGACCGTGACAAATCATTCCATGGCTTTCTACGAAGCCATGACTTCTAAGACACTAACCATTGTCGAAAACCAAAGGATATGGCATTAGTGAGACAAATGACCCATCTGATACTTGACAACACTGCTTAAAGGAGCATTGTTATCTAAGAGAAAATGCTACACTTTTGACTAAAAAGATTTTGCGCCACCTAGGGACACATGGGAGATTTGCCTTTAGGATAGGGTGATGAGGACTTTGAACTAGGGAAGTAGAACAACGCCTCCTATTGCAAGTGAATTGCAAGAGCAATAATAGGTAGCCCTTCTAGCCAGAAGACTGACAGTGTATCTTATAGTACAGAACACACTGAACAGAAATATATCCCAATACACAAAAAGGAAATGTTAGAAAAAATAAACCTGCAACCAAAACTCACCTTAAAAATCAGTCACCTTTAAGGTTCTGTGAAAACATGGCTTTCTATAGAGAAGTATATACTTATACAAGTTGTCAGTCAAATGTGAGAATAAAATAGGCATTCCAGACATGCAAAAACTCGGAAAAGTTATTTTCCATGTATTTTTATATGAAGTTACTTGATGATCTACTCCTAAAACATGGGGAATAAATCATGGAAGCAGAAAACAGTGGATTCCGGGAATCCACTTACCCAAATGATCAGTGAAGGAAAATTCCAGAATGACAGCCATATGTTAGGTATTTAGAGCAACTAATCCAGATTAAACTTGAGGTAAAGGGGCTCCAAAAGTAAGATATCCAATTAAAAATGAGACAAAACATAAGCTCAATATAATTTAAAATTTCCAAAAATAAATAAATCCTATGATACAGGTAAATAGCGTAAGAAAACAGAAAGATGGCTGCAGGTGGAGGATTAGCCTAGTGAGCCATTGCGCCAGCACCCCGGGTTCTAGTCCCGGTTGGGGCGCTGGATTCTGTGCCGGTTGCCCCTCTTCCAGTCCAGCTCTCTGCTGTGGCCCGGGAAGGCAGTGGAGGATGGCCCAAGTGCTTGGGCCCTGCACCCGCATGGGAGACCAGAAGGAGGCACCTGGTTCCTAGCTTCAGAAAAAAGAAAAAAAAAACAGACAACTAGAAAGTCCAAGGAAAACACAAAGCTATAATATCACTAACAGTATACCACCATACATGCATATATACACACATATACTACAAGGTGTGGCCAAGCAAAACATATCTGTAGGGTATATCAATTTTTGGTTGTAGAGTTTCTAGTTCTACTTTGAGGGATGGGAAATTACAGGTATAGATAAAATGCTTTGAATAAATATGGAATCTGATGACAAAAAAATAGGTTCTCTTATAGAAATGCAGAAGAAATAAAGAATGTTCAAGATCTTTGTTCCTTGAATGAGAGGTAAGTAAAAACTCCAAGAAAAATGGCAGATAGGTACCCCACTCTCTGAAATAGTCATAGCAAGCAGAGTGTGGCTGACTTGAAGACAGCATGTAAAGAAGACAGTGATCCTAGAGAACTGCACCCCAACACTCTACTCCCACCCCAACTCTAGAAATCTGGCACATTTCCCAGGCAGGCAGAGGAGATATGAGATAAGTTTTTGTTCTAGTTAGATACAGCAAGAAGGTGGAAACCCAGAGCCAAAATGAAATTGAGTTATAAGGTAAAAAGAAATATTTTTTGTACACTTGATTCTGTGGACTGAAGTTTTTATTTACTATGCTTACTGGTCACTCATTTACTCAACCGATATGTGTTTTGTATTTACTGTGTAGAAAGTGCTATGAGAAAAATAGATATATATGGCATATCTCCAGTAGACTATTTGTGAAATTAACAAAGTGAACCCATGATGGCTATGAGACATGGTAAAAGGCCTTCCCTGAGAGGCTGGCTGGACTACAGGAATGGAGATCTGAAGCACGTTGTCTTCTTGAAGAATAGAGAGGCAAGTCAGGAGTCATTCCTGTGAAGTTTGTGCATTCCCCTCCTAGATGTATCTAGCCCTCAACAGGAGAGCGTGTTTCTTCATAAAGTATTCTGTGATCATTCCCCTGAAAATATTCTCTACTTTTTCTGAACAGCATGGGATATTATTTATGCATTTCTTCTGGCACTTATTTTAATTTACTAGCTTTGTAGAGCTGCTTCATCTCCTTTTTGATGTTCTTAGAAGAGAGTATTTCAAAGCAATACCACAGTGTCTTGTACCTATTGAGTATAATATAAACATACATAGACATGGCAGACACGTTGTCACCAGTGTTCCCCAAAATATGGACCCTTTGCATTGAAATCACCCTGAGTTTTTAAACTGCAGGTTCCTGGGAATGCTACAGCTTTGCTGAATCAGAATGTCAAAGTGTGAGCCTGGGAACCCATGTTTTAAATAACTTACTACTCTTAGAACTATGAATTTCAGGATAAAATAGTCATAGCAAAGTGTGGGAATGGCAGAGAGGTTTCATCCAGAGCGCTGGCTCTGGTAGTGGGTGCTGCTGAATGGAATTCTGAGGCTGAAAATTCCAAGGGCAACCATGGCATCATAGCCTGCCATGGACAGTAAAGGAAGGAGAGGGAGAGGGGGAAGTTTATAACATATTTGGCATCTCTGAATATGCTAATCTCAGGAATGAAGAGACCATCCCCCCTTCCTTTAAGAATAATTATAAGTCATCCTTGCATAGGTTTTCTAGTCTGCATGATTTTTGCAAAATTTCTGGTGAAACTTGGAGAGGGGTGGTCAGGTGGTGATTTAGAATAAAATTGGTATCTTTTGGGAAAACTTCACCCAGTAAAAACATATTTTAATGAAATTAAGCATCAGTTAAATTACACAGGGGGTCAATTAACTGTAAATGTTATTTTTAATGTAGGACTTTTTCCTCTCTGTGTGCCTTATTATTATATACTATATACAATCACTGAATAAATTTGGAAAATACAGATGAAGGGCTTGATTTTGTGGCACAGGAGGTTAAGCCATCACTTGTGAGGCTGGCATTCCAAATCTGAGTGCATGGGATAGAGTCCTGACTCCTCAGCTTCCAATTCAGCTCCCTGTTAATGTGCCTGGGATGGCAGTGAAAGATGGCTAAGTGCTTGGGGCCTGCCACCCATGTGAGAGACCCAGATGGAGTTCTGGGTTCCTGGCTTTGGCCTGGCCCAGCATTGGCCATTGTGGTCTTTTAGTGAATGAGCCAGCAGATGGAAGATCTCTCTCTGTCTTTCCCTCTCTGTCATTCTGCCTTTCAGATAAATCAGATAAATCCTTAAATAAAAAAAAAGAAAATACAGATGAGTAAAGCTCACCTAAAAGAGCATCATATTGCAATAATGTCTGCTAAATGTTTCCATGCACATACACAAAGTCTGTTCTTATATTGACTTGAATGCAATCCAGAGAGGGCTACACAGCAGCCTAATTGTGGACTCGGAATTAATTACAATCTTATATGAACTCCAACTTTTTCATCAGTAGACTGAGCATAATAACCCCCCTCCCCCCCGTTGCCTGTGTCTCTGAAATGTTCTGAGGAGGGCATGCTCTCCCAAGAACAGGAGCACATGGCAATCATCTTTAATTTCTGGGGATTTAGCACAGAGCCTGATACACTGGAGGCCCTGAAGGTTTTGTTGTGGTTGTTGAATTGACTCTCATCTTAACTCCCTGAACTGTAGTGACTGTTTGGATGAAAACCAATTGATTCATCAGTATTTCTCATTCTTCATCTCTTTGGTCTTTGATCCTGGAATTTTGTGATTTTTATCTTGCTTCATTTTCCTGCTTCTTTATGAACATTCCACATTTTACTTATTTGCAGTTGACTTTAAATTTCTATTGTATCTTTTTTTTGTATATTTCCTGATGAGTTAATGAACTTTAGTGGAATCAAAGTTATCTTTATGATGTCTATCTCATATATTTATCTTCAGATTTTGGTATTAACCTTCAAACCCCTAATTTTCCTGGTGTTTAACCATTTAAAATATTTATATCAGCAGAGACACAAAGGAAAATGATAGCACTTTTAATATGGGTAATAGAGGAAAACTTAGTAAGGGGAGTATTAACACCTGCAGACAGGGTTCAAAAGACTATAAAAGTAGTGGTAATGCTCAAGAGAAAGTGTAGACAAAGACGTAAAGGACTGATTAGTGATTAGGAAAGGCTCCAGGGAGCGAGAATAGGTAAGAATGGTAGCTCTTTTCAAACCTAAAGACCTCTCCTGACATTCTGACGGTGAAGTGTCTGAGCATGAAGGACTACCTGCTTGTTTCTGGGCTTCCCAGTGAGGGCAGTGCTAGGTGGCTGGTGGCAGTCCATGCTGCAAGCGTGGGAGGCTCATCGAGGAGGTCACGGCTTCCAGGTACCTCTGCTTCCCCTGAGCACCTGCACTGTGGATTATGGTGGCCAGTGTCTCTGTTTATGCAAAGCTCAGGATTCTCTTTTATAGCCAGTCCTGCACTACATGGGCAGGCCAGGGTTTCTCAGTTAGGGCTCTGGTGCTACCAACAGCCAGGAGTGATTCCTGCTTCCAGGCCTGAAGAGACAAGAGAAGACAGTGGTTACAGGAACCCAAATAGAGGAATGGTGTGGCAGGAGCTGTGGCTTTCCACAGATATACAGTCAACTTGTGGCAACACAGCAGCAAGGGAGCTGAGAGAATGAATAACTGGATCTCCTTCTCTTCTACCCAACTGCACCCCCTCCTCCCCAATCTCCAACAAGAAGCTCCAATAGGGTATCCAACTGGTACAGTGCATACATGTCAGCTTCTTAGGGCTGAGAGCAGGGTGTAGAATGCCAGAGTACTTCTTGATGAGCAAGTGGAAAACAAACATCAAAATGCAGCTATTAGATCTTTTATAATGCCTCTTTTCATCTTGATTCTCAGGAATCCAATTTTCTTCATTTATAAACAGATTTCTTATTTGAAAGGTAGAATGATGGAGGAGGGAAGGGAGGAAGGGAGAAAGAGAGAGAAAGAGAAGGAGCGATACCAATCTTCCATCCTCTGGTTCACTTCCCAATTGGCTGCAACAGACAGGTCTGGGCCAGGCTGAAGCTGGGATCCAAGAACTCCATCTGGGACTCCCACATGGATTCCAGGGCCCACACATTTGGGCTGTCATCTGCTACCTTTCCAAGCATATTAGTAGGAAGCTGGGTCAGAAGCAGAGTAGCCAGTACTTGAACTGGCACTCTGATAGAGAATGCCAGCAAAGAAAGGTGGGGCTGAGGAAGGGGCTTAACCCCCTGCGCCTCAGTCCTGCACCAGGAATCCGTAAATTTGTAAGGTCTTGTTTTTGAAAGCCCTGTTTTCCCTTCCTATCTACTATAGCTGCCTTAGCCTTAGTTGAGACTCTTCCTGCTTTTTTTTTTTTGGGGGGGGGGTAACATGGAGGGGCAATGGGAAAATTAATTTTAAAAATTTTAAACTAAAAAATTTTTCTAAAATTATAAGTTGAGCCCTAGCCCTCATATGTGTGTGTGTGTATACACATATACTGTACTTGGAGATAAGGCCATGAAGGAGGTAGTTAAGGTTAAATGAGGTCAGGAGGGTAGGGCCCTAATCTGATAGGGCTCCTGTATGAAGTGGAAGAGACCAGTACCGTATGTATCTGTGCATGCACACACAGAGAAAATGCCAAGTGAGGACGCAGTGAGATGGCAGCAGTACAAAACTCAGCAAAGAGACCTTGGGAGAAGCCAGCCTGACTGGCACCTTGATCTCGGACTTCCAGTCTCCAGACTGTGAGAAATAAGTTCCATTACGCAAGCTACCTAGACTGTGGTTTGTCAGGACAGACGTAGCTGGCTAAAACACCACTGCTTATGATTTCTTAGTGCTTCTTCATGTACATTATCCTTTAACCCTTGGTGTTACTAATTCACATAGACAAGAAACAGACAAGTTAGTGTTACTAATTCACATAGACAAGAAACAGACAAGTTAGTGGCTTGCCCATGACTATAAGTTGCAAAGACTTACTGTGGTTGGAACAATCCAGATTTTCAGCCTGTGTGTGGCATGGGTTCTAGACTCCCAGATTTGCTGTGGTCAAGTTCACCATTAGAGTGAGGCCGGCTCTAAGCCCTCTGGGCCCCAGTCCATCCGTGCTTTCAAAGTGATTACACTGTGTTAATATCACATGAGAATGAAATGAGCCTACACACACACACACACACACACACACACAGCTTACATCTTGACTGGTACATCATATGCTAAATAAACTTTATTAACTGTCCTCCAACCCACGCATTTGCACCTGCTGCTCGGTTTGCCTAGCATACCACTATTTCTCATTATCTTTTCTCCCAAGATTCAATTTAAGGTTCTCACCCAGCAGGTTCACCCTGTGCCATCCTGCCATCCCATCTGCCTCCAGTTTCCCGTTCAAACTTCGTTCCTGTATGGTTTGTGTCTGTCGCTAGACTGTGAACTCCCTAAAGGTGGATGATGTGTTTTCATCTCTGGGTGCACAATACTTTCTGAATGACACAATAGACAGCGCTCACATGTAATGAAACTCATAAAGTTCCTAAAGTCTGTTTTGTTAGCAGCCACGAACACATGACAGAAAGGAATATCCTCCTCGCTGCTGTGCCACAGGACACGCCTAAGAAGAAGGTAAAGTGTGGAACGCGCGGAGGAATACAGGAAATTTGGGGCAGCAGCTTCAACCTGCGCGCGTGATCACTACACGTCTGCGCTTGCGTCGCTCCCCTCAGTCGAGGGTGGGGCCATGCTCTGCGTTTTAGGATTGGGCGGTGGTCCGGCCAAACGGACGGCGCGGAAATGACGTCGAGGTGCGCAGGCGCCAGGAGCCCTGGCGCGCGGTGGCTGCTGGGTGCCGCACGCCTTTCCTCCCCTCGCCTCTCCCTCCCCCCTCCCGTCCCCGCCCCCTCGGCCGCTCCGCTCCCTGGCGTGACTCGGCATTGAGAGCCCTGGGAGCAGCCGCCGCGGTCGCCGCCTCCTGCGTCCAGGCCTCGGCGCCCCCTGAGCCGCTCCCTTTCCTCTCTCGGGTTTTCCTCTGCTTCATTTTGGAAGCCGGTGGTGTCGCGGCCGCCCTTCCAGGCCCTCTGTGAGGATGGTGGGAGTGAAGCCGGTCGGAAGCGACCCGGATTTCCAGCCGGAGCTGAGCGGCGCGGGCTCCAGACTCGCCGTGGTCAAGTTCACCATGAGAGGGTGAGGCGGGCTCCGAGCCCTCTGGGCCCCCGTCCGTCAGTGCCTGCCATTTCCTGGTCCCAGTTCCCTGGCCGGTTTCTGCTCCGGAGGGTCCGGCGCGGGCCGCCGGCAGGATTAGGCCTCAGCTCTCGGGCGGCGGTCCCCATTTCTGCACCGGCTTCGAGGCGGGCAGGGAGACTTGGCCGCCTTCGCCAGCTCCGGAGGTCCTCACCTGCTGTAACCTCGGATAAGCCGTGCCCGTGGGGGCGGCCTGCCTGCGACGCCTGCCTCCTGCAGCCGCCCCGGCTGGTGCCAGTCTAGCACTTGCACCCTAGGAATTCTGGAAGCGTACTTGACCGCTTTGGTTCTCTTCAGTACTGCATTTCGGTACAGCTGTCCACAACTTACCTGCGTAGTGCGTAGTCCCAAGGCCCGCTGATTTCATGAGTTGTTAGTGTTGGTCAAGGTGCATTTTACCTTGCTTGAGGTTTTTGTTCCTCGTGTGGTTAGTAACGTAGTCACTACGGCTCCCCTGTGGACGCGATTGTGTCTGGTCACACAAGTGACAGTAGAGATAGTCAGGGGGCCAGACGTCTTGGTCTGGCAGACTCCGCTTTAGCCTTGATGATTTAAGAGAACACGGCTCTTAAAAGACAGTAACTGTCAGAGCTGGTGGGCTTTTTATAATGCAATGCTGACATGTTAGGAGTTGGCGTGGAGAACCATGATTTCAGAGAGTGTGTTTGCAGATCTCCCTTTGTGTCTGTACCAGGCTTACCTTGACCTCCTGCCATTATTTACATATACACGAACTTGAAGCAGTCTGCTATTGGTGTCACCATTTCTAGAACACTCTACTTCTGTTGTCACTGCTTAAAAAACTATATAAGGCAGTGTTTTGAGTCTGAGCAACAAATGTCGCTTCTAGCACACGGTTCAGTAAATGTTATGTACATGAGTGATGATATTACGATCAGGTAGTTTTAGGCGTTAGAGGGATGCAGATCAAGACGGGACCAGTCTCACATAGAATTGAACTGGGGCAACATATTGGATTTAATAGGGTGGGATAGAGTACTGGCATGAAAATTGGACTTTCACATGTACCAAATGGAAGAGCTAGGTGTTTTTGTATCTTTTAAGGCATGGCTAAAAGGTATATCAATTGTATAAATGCCTTTTCTCAGCGCTAGCAATTTTGTATTATATATATTCTTAATAGTAAGGGAGTAGGGGTTGGGGCTGTGGCATAGTAGGTTAAGCCTCCACCTCTTCTGCCATAATCCCATGTGGGTACCTGTTCGAGTCCTGGCTGTTCCACTTCCAATCCAGCTTCCTGCTAGTGGCCTGGGAAAGCAGTGGAAGATGGCGCAAGTGCCTGGGCCCCAGCACCCACTTGGGAGACCTGGAAGAAGCTCCTGGCTCCTGACTTTGGATCCACACAGCTGCAGCCGTTGCGGCTATTTGGGGAATGAACCAGAGGATGGAAGACCTCTCTCTTTCTGTCTGTCTGTCTGTAACTCTGCTTCTCAAATAAATAAATCTTAATGGAATAGAAATGTAAGGTTATTTAAAAAAAATAGTAAGGGAATGCTTTTATGTGTTTGCTGAGTGTCTAGGCTCAATGGAAAAGGGAAGAGTTGATTTCAACAAGGAATGTCACTTGTAGTTTATTTCTAATTCTGGTTATTTGTAGGTTTTATGTTTTTGTCCTTCAAAAATATATTCTTTTTTGGCCCTGTTACCCTAGCAGAGGGAGAGATGGGATAGTAATAAATATTGATTAAAGTGAGAAAAGTGAGGAAACATTGCTACTGCAGGAACTTCCGCTAGCAATATGAACTTCCACTAGCATAAGCATAATTGCAGACATTGACTGGTAAAGAAGTCTGTTACTGTTAATGTTTAAAAGAGGATTTTAATGGAATGAAAATTACATTTTCTTTGTAGAAGCTGAGAGTAAATAAACAGTTGAAGTTAGAGGACATTTTTAGTTCAAAAACATGCTTAGGTTACATTTATAAACTGGTAAGGTTTATTTGCCTTTAATGTACCTTTGATGTGTTTGCCATTAATGCATTTCTATCTGAACTCGTTGTCATTCCAACCCCAGACTTAGTAAAAGGGGGTCAGTATTAGAGCCCTGAGCAACTATATCCAATAAAGTCCTTTAAGAAACCTTTTAGGTTAAAGTTAACATTCCCATTTTAGGCCCAGGGCATGGTTCTCTGGCACCTATTTCTTCATTTCCTTTTCACCTCTATCTCAAGCTTTCCCTCTTATTTTCATCTTTGATGCTTTATCCATCCTCAACCTAAATTAATTTCATGAAAACAGTATAAGGATTGTTGTAATCTTGTTCAAAACCTGTCATTGGCTCTAGAATTTCTTTTCTTTTTTTTTTTCAGTTTCTTTATTTGAGAAGCACAGTGATGGACAGTGTTCCCATTCACTGATTCACTCCCAAGATGCCTACAGCAGGTGGAATTGGGTCAAAGCCATCCAGATCTTGCATGGATGGCAAGGGTCCAGCTAATTGCGCCATTACTTGCTGCCCCCAAGGTGTACGTTAAAAGGAAGCTGGAATCAACAGCAGTGCTGGGACTAGAACCCAGTCACTTGATTGCGATGTAGCATCCTAACTGGTGTCTTCACTGGTAAACACTTTGTCAAATGCCTTCACCTCTTTAGTTTCTTTTTTGTGATAAAATGTATATCACATAAAATTGACCATTTTAACCATTTTTAGCAATATAGTTTAATGATACTAGGTCTGTTCACAGTGTTGTGCTACCATCACTGCTGTTTCCTAGAACTTTTTTGTCTTCCTATATAAAAACTCTGTATGCATTGAACAATAACTCCTCATCCTCACTTGAGAGAAGAAAATGTCCATTTAACAGTAACTAGCCCTCTCACCCCCAGTCTCTATTATACTTCTTTCCCAATGGGTTTGCCTATTTTAGGTATTTCATGTAAATGAATTCATATTTGTTTTTTGTTTCTGTCTTATTTTTCTTAGCATAATGTCTTCTCATTCATCTGTGTTTCATGTTTATTCACTCATCTGTTGACAGATATGTTGTGTTCACCTTTGGCTATTGTGAATAATATGGCTGTGGACAGTATTGTACAGGAATTTCTTTGAATCTTTGCTTTCACTTCTTTTGGGGGAGTTAAAAGTATATGTTTAAATTTTTTAGGAACTGCTAAAGTGTTTTCCATCGTGACTGTACCATACCATGTTTCATTCCCAGCAGCAACACATGAGAGTTCAATTTCCCCAACAGTTATTTCCAGTTTTTGTTTGTTTGTTTGTTTTTTCGGATAATAGCCATCCCAATGGATGTGAAGTAGTATCTTACTGTGTTTTGATTTGGATTTTTCCAGTGAAAAAATATGAGCTTCTTTTTTATGTGTTTATTAGCCTATTTGTATATTTTCTTTGGGAAATGCCTATTTCATGCTCTTTGTCCATTTTTGAGTTGGATTGTTATTGTGTTGAGTTCTAGGAGTTCTTTATGTATTCTGGATATTAGCCTTTTATCAGATGTTTAATTTGGAAGTTTTTTCTCCCACTCTGTCAGTTGTCATTTCACCTACTTCGTGTGTCCTTTAATGTGTGAAAGTTCATTTATTATGAGAAAGTCTGGATTATCTGTATATTTTGTTGTCTGTGCTTTTCTCTATTTGATTTAAGAGGAGGAGGGAAGGTAATATTACCATTCAAGAAGGATGTCAGTATATTTGAATATGTTGAATGCTAATGGCTATGGTAGCTTGCCCAAATAAAATATTAGTTATACATATAATATTTTATTAACATCAAGAATTGCCAAGGACTGAAGATAGGTTTTATTTTTATGTTTTAAAATATTTATTTATTTTATTTGAAACAATTTCAAAGAGAGAGAGAGAGAGATCTTCCAACCACTGGTTCACTCCCCAAATGGCTGCAATTGCCAGAGCTGGGCCAGTTCAAAGTTAGAAGCCAGGAGCTTCTTCTGGTTCTCTCACATGGGTACAGGGGCCCAAGAATTTGGGCCATCTTCCACTGCTTTCCCAGGCACATTAGCAGGGAGCTGGATCAGAAGTAGAGCAGTCAGGACTTGAATCCAGCACTCATGGGATGCTGGTGTTGGAGGCAGCAGATTAACCTGCCGTGCCACAACAATCTGAAACTTAACTTGAAAGTCAAAATAAACTACAGAGCAGAGAAGCACAAACATGTACATAGATATGTGCACATATACAGTAACATTTTCACACTGCAATCATTGAAATAAGTTATTTATTTTAAATAAGATGTGTGCCTTCCTTAACACTAACATTGAAGAATAAAATCTGTAACAGCATAAGTCAGGACAAGTCATTTGAATTCTCTGTATAAAATGAGAAGGGCTAGTTTCTTAAGCACCTTTCCAAGCTATAAAACATTACATTACCCATAATGCTTGAATCTCAGAATTAAAATTTTTCTCCTATAAACACCTTGAAGAGGGGTGAGCATTGTGGCTCAGCAGATTAAGCCACAACCTGCCACACCAACATCCCATATCAATGTGCCAGTAATATGGTGTAAATAGTTCAAGTTTAGGAGAGCGGAAACTTTTGTATCCCCGCAATGATGTTATTTCTTTTAACTGCCATTTCCATATGCCCACCTTCCCAGCATGCACTTGTAGCATCCAGGACCAGGACACATGCTAAGACACCACCCTATCTGTATATTTCATTTGGGTACCACTTTGTTCCTTATAAAAAGAGGTGAAAGGCAGAGAGAGCTCTCTTTCTATCATGAGCCTCGCTTAGAGGTACTGCTCCCATTTTCACTCTTTCCACAGCATAATGCACTGGAACGTACCGTTCTTGTTTGTACTTTTTATACCATGGACTGGTTTCTTCCACTCTCAGATTAGCCTTCCCAATTATAGGTACCATTTTCAGTTTTTCCCTTCCTCTTGTTCATGGTCAACTCTTTGGTCAACTCTTTGACCAACGCTTGTTGGCCTTCTGCAATA